GACAGTCACAAAGTTAAACGCTCTGGCGGCCATTTTGTTTACGTGTGAGTGGGCGTAACCGTGGGCGTGTCTCAACTAAATGTATCCTCGTCTCCAAGATTGTTTCTGTTACCGTTGCTATTGCTGTTGTTTTTGGGCCAGATCATGGCCAGAGGCCAGTTGTCGCATTTACACAAAATTACCGCCAAGTGTCAAATGCAAACATTTCGGCTTTAACAATATTTGCAATGAAAACACCAAAGCAATTTTGTTCCGCGCAAAACTTCTTCGGCTAAACTTTTGCGTTCATTACGAGCTCAAAAACTTGGCAGCAGCCGTCAAGTGTTTCCGGGCCAAAAACTGGCGAATGTTCATTTCGCTTGAAACCAAAATTATCAAATTTGTTGCTAAATTCTAACCAAATGCTGCAGGGCCAAGGAGCAGCAATGGGGGCTATGTGGTCCACTTCGGTTCGGACCAGAGCGTGACACACATATATACACATATATAAGGACAAGCATATAGTGTTCGTGTATTCAGCGCACGACTAATTGATATATTTTAAGCATTTAATTAAAACTTTTCAATTTACTGTTGAACTAAGTAACTTGCGGGCCATTGTAACAAATTCGAAACACAGAAATTATTTGTGTCAATTGTTTCGTGTCCCGTTTTAAATTCAAACCGCAAATTCAGTTAACAGCGACCAATAAATTAAGGCAGGAAAAGTAACAGAAGCAAAGCGGAAATGTAACATGGCATATACGAAGTATATATTGTGTAAATGCCCTTACCGAGAGTAAAATTATTTTCCAGCGTAATGGGTCCATTAGGCATTAATTCATTTAACGTATATATAAAAAAAAAATTATTTCTTTTAGCTGTCGGAGACGCGACAGACATGTACATACGCAAATTAAAAATCCTTCGAAACTTGAATTGAATTAGATTATTATTTAGTATATAAATATAATTTGAACACATTCTTATTACTGTTTTAATATATATACATATATATTGGACTAGTAATCTACTAGCAATCGAATTAAGAAAAGAGTATTTACTCTTCGACAAAGAAACTTAAATGTTCTATTCATGTTTTTTGGTTGTGTTCTTTAATTAGAGAATTTTATTTAGGTAATGTTGTTGCACGAAGTAATGAGATAAAATCAAATTCATGTTGCTACAGGATGTGTTTCTAAGGGAATAATATACATATATATAGATATATATATATATCTATATATATTGTAAAATAATTAACCTTAAAAAAACCGCGTAGTGTTTGAAATATGTGACAATTTAAATAATAGCAAATTATTCAAATGAGGAATTCATTGTGCATTTGATTTTTAGTAGCTAAATTAAATACAGTTTGGTATTTCAATTAGGATTATATAGATTATATTTTAACTGAATTATTTGAGCACAAAGCTTAATTACAGCCAGGCTACACACACGGAAACGTAAAAGCGCACACACATAAGAATTGATTGCTGTTAGCTGACAATCCAACAAACAGAGACAAAACTTTTGATTAAAGTGTCCCGAAGTGCATACACACACATAGAAGCAGCTGGCTTATGCTTCGCTGCTGGCTTATGCAAAGTTTGGCGCATTCCGCAGCGGTAATAATCACACACACGCACACACACATATGTATTATATGCCGCCGCATGTATTGCAGAAAATGTGATTTGTTGTTGCCTTGGCGCAAAATGTTTGTGGCTCTGTTTATTTTAGCTGCCTTCTGCGCTTTACTTGCACCTCACTGACTTGACAATGCGCAGTGCTTATAAATCCACTGTGAAGAACCACATCAAGCCATTGTAACAGCCGCAGCAGCAGCAGCAGCAACAACAGCAACTACTCGTTGTGAAAAATTCAATTACAACTGCTCCTAGGGAATGCAAAATCCAAAATAAACAAGAGATGGAAAAAACAGAAATTTTCCAGCTACACATGATCAAATACCCTTGCATGCCATCAGATTAACAATACAAAACTCCAATCAGAATCAACATTTTTATTCGATAACTTTTATAGCTTCCAGAAGGTGATGTGGTTTAGTTTCGACCCATTGATGGATTAGGTATTGGGTATAAAAGCTATTTTTAAAACATTTTTCTGCCCATGCACTTAACATAAGATATTGTTTAAAATTTTGTTTTAGCTGCTAAGCCCTAGACTAAACAGAAAAGGCTACTTAGCTTAAGCACATAGAAACTCACACGGTGAAATTTCAGTGAATTTTACGGTCAGTTATTGAGTTTTGAAAAAATACCTCTTAAAACCATAAAGTTGTTTCCACAATAAATCCACTTTTCCGATTGTTTCTATGGTAGCATTAAAGCGATGAACATACGTATCTATATACTGCCGAAAGCAAACTGACAGGTCTTTATATTGTTTCAGCGAACTGATGCACTGCCTAGCATTGATAGACATGAATAAGGCCATTTCATATTTTTTTACTAAACATTTACGTACTGCATGTGATCAAAAAGAGCACCCCTAATAAGTTACACATTTCATGCAAGGGTATACAAGCTTAGTTCTGAACGGATTTGCTACAAATGCAAATGCAAACAACAAACAGAAAAAGAACAACAAGAAACAGTCAGTCAGTCTTGTCTCTGTGTACTGTGGTCGTTGGTTTTACGTCGCACTATGCGAACTGCAAACTGCAAACTGCAGAACAGAAACTAGAAACTGGCAACTGAAAAGTATTTGGCAAATTCAGTAAGCAGTCACGTGCGAACGTGACAAAAATGCCACGAAGATGCGCCATGCTGTTTGGCCAAGTCCCCGCTGGGCCATAACCGATGGCCATAACCATGGCATAGGAACAATTGTGCTCACGCACCAGCTGGCTGTGTGTTTCTGTTTGCTTGTGTGTGCTTGCTTAGCTGTGTATGTTAGCTTCAGTTAATAATGCGCTGGTTCGTCTGGCCGGGCTTAGGCCAAAGATCGAGCTACAACATTGCATATAACCGCAATTGGAATGTAGATGTTTGACGCAGCTGGATGCCAGAGAGCTTCAAAATGTCTGCTGTCCGACTGCAAATTGCTGTGTATTATGCGAACAAATATATTGACATTTGACAATAGTGTCAACATCAGCTGCATCTGCTCTTTAGTGCATACCAATTTAAAGTATAACTTATGCTGACAATGCTGTATTCACTTGCATATTTATTAAATTGATTTAAATAGAATTTAACGCTACACATTTACCTATACATTTATCAAATTATCAAGAAAAAAACATATATTAATTATAAAAAAAAAAGTAAAAGATCAGCATATGTTCAAAGTCAAGTTTTTTTCTACTCATAAATATATCCACATATTGAATTACTTGAAAATTACTTTTCACAAAAATATATAGTAATTAATGCTTACTGTAATATATTTAGCTCCTATTTTAATAGTAATAATTAATTTATGTACTTAACTTCCATCAAGTGTTTGTCGGTAAATATGAAAGAAAAACTAAATTCAAGCTTTCGCTTAAGCTGCTTAACACAATAATTGAAACTCGATGGTGTCAAGGAAATGTTGATAAAGTTATTCAAGTTCAACATCGTGTTTATTGAATAAATAATAATAATTGCATAAGTAAACTGTAGTTTTAATTGTAATAGACCTGCTGAGGACGTATTAGCTTTGCAATAGTTGCACAATAAATTCCATACGCATATTTACTTATGTAAGAATATGTTCTCTTAGGACGGCCAGAATGGAAAGCTATCAAGTTGTTTGCAGAAATTTGCGGCCAACGTGTAGAAATTAAATGCGTGACCAATTAATGGAAAGCAATTGAGATTTGAAAATTTGACATTTGGCCTAATGGCCGTACAGTAAATGCCAATCAGGGCCGAAACACATAACCTAATCCGCTCTTATGCAATTATGCTTAATTGTAAAATATTATATGGTTTACGCAAATTACAAACAGCAAATGAGTTCCATTAGGGCTGAATCATGTTCTGCAGTTGCTTTAATGACAAACCCAAACCCCAAAGATCTCCAAGCACCCACATTAAATGCTTGATAAACATGGCATACAAACTAAAAGCAAACCACATAGTTATAAAGTATGTGTATGATTTCTCTCTCATTGTTTCACTAATTTCCGAGTATTATTGACAATTACACATTTTTGAATTGTGAAATGCTTTTGCAAATAAGGAAGGTGAAGTGCGTGCATATTTAATTTGCACACAGAGTATTTCAAGTGGTAAATATTGCACGCACAGATGGAATTAGGGTTTAAAATATGTGGTATGTTTGATTCGTATAATCAAATGGTATATTTAGTTATAATTAAAAGCTGTTTGCCTGCTAGAAATGTTATTGTGAACGAATCTGTATTTGAAATATATGTAATACGGTTTATTATTAATTGTTATAAATGCACTCTAAGCTCCACAAAATATGTATAAAACTGCACGAATAAAAGGTTACAAATTTTTGGTATAGTGTGTAAGACAAAAAATGAGTTTCGCATTCAGCTCAAAATTGTTATTATTCTTTCATAATTTGCTTGTTTGTATATTTTTCGAGCATGTGTGTCAACAATTCTCAGAAAAATATGTATAATAAACCAGAAGAGATTTACATATGACAACGTCAGACATTTTTGTTATTTTTTTTCTTGTTGATCCTTGTGAAGACAACAAATTGTACACAAATTATGCAGAGATTTTTGTGCAAATACAAGCAAGCCGGTCTTTGGTATGAGGGGAAGCGCATCATAATATCCTGCTTAATATGGGCACCTTAATTAGCTGCGTCTCATTTTATGCAAATAATTTGGTGAAATGTGGGAACGAGCAGGGTCCAAACGCATCTAATGAAAATTCCACTGAGAGATATTGCGTATACGCAAACGCTTATGGGCATTCAAATTAATTGACTTCACGCTGTTATTGTTTGTCCCACAACAGAAGCAGCGCATATATTAACACATTTTAAAGCATGTCTCTCTTCCAATCTTGCTTTTCCAATCGACACAGGCTATATGGCAGCGGCAGAGGCAGCAACAACAATGAGGCCAACAGCAACGCACAGTGCGACGTCGAGGAGCCCAAGTGAGGAATTACAGCGCCATATAAATCAAAATTTAATTATGTCGCCAGCGCTTGGCTCGAGCTTTGCCGCCGCATCGGCGGCCGCACTGACAGCATCACAGCAACGCAGTTCCTCCTCCTCTGCCTCTTCGTACTCATCACCCCCTTCAGGCAGCAGCATAAAAAGCTTCGACTCCAACAACTTGATCGATGACAAACGCCTGCCGCAGCCGCCACACGAACAGCAGCAGCAGCAGCAGCAGCAACAGCAACTGGAACAGCTCGAACAGCTTCAGCTGCAACAACAGCTGAAGCAGCAGCAACACTCACGAATTCAGGCCAAAGATACGGCAGGGCCATATCCAATACCTGTGCACAGGAGCGAGCCCGTGGAGAATCACTTAGAGGCGACACACGGCATCGATGGTGCAGATAATGTGTTCGGCACGCCCATGTACTTCGGCACCGAGAACTCAACGGTGGTGACGACACAAATTGGCGCCACCGCCCACGTTCCATGCACCGTGCATCACATTGGCGATGGTGTGGTAAGTAAATATATACTCTTAATAATGTCCATATACTCCAAATTGTACTCGTACTCACTATGTCCACAAGTGAGTCATTCATTTCACCTCATTCGCATTGCAGTCTTTGTCATTGCTTTAATAATTCATTTAAAATCAATTCATCAACTCTGCTTTGTTTGACTTGTGGGTATCGGTGACTGTTGCACTACTCGACTGAGAGTACGGTAAATGCTAGCCGTATCCGTTAGCACTTGGCACGTATTCAGCATCGTCCTGGCGAATTAATTAACAAAGTGTCATTCGCAAGGCAAATAGAGCGCGCTCGATTCCAATTGGCATTTTAATTGAGAATCCAAAAGCTATAAACAATTTGATTTATGCAAAGCACCGAGCTGTGCTTTATTAAATTGTTTATTTTCTATTGGCATATGAATACTTTTACTGTAGAAATTGTGCAAATATTGAAGCTCAACAACAATTTATTTCTTAGAGAAAGAAAGGATGTCAGAAAAATGTATTTTGATGGGTAAAGTGAAAAAATCTTTAACTTTGGAATATGTATACATTTTTGTATAAGTTGAAGAAAAGTGCAAGCCTATTATATCAATAGTTTTATCGTAATATATATTCCTTATATTTATTCCCAGTTAGCTTTAATCTAGACGCCCAAGAAATATTCAATGTTCATTTCAATGACGTATGACTTTTCATTTGTATAAGTATATGTCTCTGTGCCATCTGCCATGCATCCACCCAACTGACAATTTGTTCATTAAGTACTCTTCGGACATCGAACGTTGGCCGAGAATTGAAGTAAAACAAATATTATACTTATTACTTTTCTTATATTATATATATAACTTGGCATTACATATAGAGAGATATATATATTTTGACATTATCCAACGGCTACAATCTGTCTGCGTAAGTTATTGTTCTCATAAGCACACTCACATACACACTCAGACTCAGGCGAGCAGAGATACTTACGCTAAGCAGTCTTCATATTTGGCGTCAGGGTGAACAAATTACACCTTTATGTAATGTGGAACATCAACTACAAATAATCAACCTTAGTCAGAGACTGGGACAGAAGGAGATGGGTAGTTGATGCGTGTGGAGTGTGGCTTGTGCATGCTATTGAGGTTGTATAGCCTCAAGTGGTATTAATTTTACGCTTGTCTAGAGTTATTACCCATACGCAGAATGTGCCACTCACACGTTTCGTCTATATGCTTAAGACCCGATGCAGCAGTTGAGGGAATTCGTAAGCCTCAAAGTGTTTATGCCCCACAACGCTGGACACGATTATGTCCGTCGTTGATTTGGGTGTGTGCGTGTTTGGTTTAAATTGACGATTTCATAATTGTGCGCTCAAGTGTGCCGACGTTAATAAGCGCTTAAGCGCCTCTAGCGCCTATAACTTTTGGGTCCCACTCCCATAGGCAGACACACACACCTTCCAGAAATTGTGTTAATACCCCATGTGAAGTTGGTTAGCCAGTTTGCACTATAGCAGCCCCGTGCTCAAGTGGCCATTGGGCTTCGACTGAAGTTGGCCCTAAATGCTGGGACTTCTTTGCTTAATATGTTAACAGTTAGTTAAAAGTCATAATAATCCCAAGGAACACATGCATATTACTGTCCGACCAATTACCCTTAATTAGATATGGCACAAGACCTTGTCTTGCAACAATTTGTGTCACAAATGAGCCGTGTAAGCGTTGCATATTCTTATATATCCACTTAAATGACGCAAAGCAGTTTCCATCGAGACTCTTTTGCATAAAAAGAATCATATACAAGCACAAAGCTACATTTCAATGAATTTCAGTCGACATGAATTGGGTTCCTCAAGACGTTGCTATTGACACCGACATCGATGCATTGCCCTTGCTACTTAAAAGCTCCTTGTGAAACACACCCATACATATAAGACAGTCTCGTCTTATTATAAAATCTTTTCCCTTCCAATTTCATATATGCTCATGCGTTTGTGCCACGCATCCCTCTTCATCCGCCAGTTCATACCTACAGCACAGCTGCCTTTGTCGAGTGTACATTAATATTGGCACAAATTTATGAACGGCATTAAGAGCGCATGACAGCAATGGCAAGTTCAATGAATAGAAAATACATAAATTCAAGGATATGAAGCATATATGAAAATGAGAGAATTCAAAGGAATTCAGCTAATTTTTAATTTTCTCAATATTTCAAATACAAATCTTGCTTGCGTAATTTACAAAAAGTAAAGTATATCTCATGCTTTATTTTAACAGCAAAAAAATACTGATTAAATTATATTCAACTCATCAAGATCCCAAAATACAGTGAAAACAAATTTTTTAAAATTTTGTTCTTAGTGATGTGTTGGTTTAATATTCATTATTTATAAATTAAAATCAGAGTCAGTAGACTTGAAATGAAGGAATTCATTTACTATACTCATTTTACAGTTAAGATCATCAGCTGCAAATATACAACCCTTACACACGATACAATATGATATACCTGTCTATACTATAGGATATCTGAGAGTCTGTCACCAACCCTCCCAGCATTCCGAGTTGTTGTCTCTGTGTTTTGGGGGTCGCGACAGACTATTGCCTTTGTTTGTAGCTCGGCAAACATTTGCCCCTTGTTTTTGTACTTGGTAGGTTCATTCATTTGTTTATTTGTTTGCTGCACCCTTAATGAAGGATGCTTGTAAGGAGGTTGTATGGATGCCTTCTAAAAAGACATTCTAAACATTTTTCTGTTTTCGCCAGCCTCTATCGCTATCTTTGTTGTTGTCGTTGCCGTTTGTCGCCGATGCTGCCATTGTCATAAATTTTGTTCATCTTCAGACGACAATAAAATGCAGGAAACATTAAATAAATGAATTGCTTCCGCAAGTAGTAAGTAAATGCGAAGTGCGCCTTTGTTTCACAACCATTTTGCTGCAATTTTAATTTCTGTTGCGCTGCGATTTCACAGTCGTTACACAGCAACACAGTGCAGAACAGCCAGGGTGCTGGGTTAGTGTGTAAATCATAATTGCCATGGATCGAAGGACGTAAGACACCGTAGAAGTAGAACAAGTAAAACTTTAGTTTAATATATCTTTAAATTTACAAACATTTAGTACTCGTTGACTTTCTTATAAACATATTCAATTCTTATCGTAATATCTACAGAAATCATATTCCGACTACTTCGATCCTAAATTAAATTATCGGTTATTCTTCTAGCTGTTTCGAAGTTATCTATAAGCTTATATATATTATATGTATATATATATTTATAAGCATATGCGCAGTGTGTCTATCTACTATCAAAAATGTTGAACATATACTTTAAGTATTCCTCAAATTCAACTCTCCATAAATATCAGCCTTGTAGAATTTCAAGTCTAGCGAGTAATTCGAAATCTAAATTCAAATAATTATATTTCTTCGAAAATGTGCAAATGCGTTTGACTAAGCCAATTGGCATGATAAACATCAAGTTATGCGGCTCGGCACACAATAAAAGCAATCTTTGATAGCCAAAGTAGAAAACAAACAGCAAATTTCAGCATATTTAAAGTGCATAAATCAAATTGCATGCAGCAAAAAACAAAACAAAAGCCAGTAGCTTAAAATGTCATGCCACTGCAGCAGCAACAACAAGAACACGAGAAAATGGTGTGGGAAATCCGATTGGAAATTAGAAATTACGACACAATTTGGGCACAGACACACGGTTGACATTAAAATATGTCATTTGAGAATTAGTTCAGTGTGTGTGAGTGAGACAGACGGGCAAGATTAAATGGCATTTAAAATACACTAAGCAAATACGTAAACCGATGGCTCTTAGCCATCAAGCGTGTCTGTTACCTACACTTTTCCCAGCTGCACTGCCCCCTACCCCCTCGGAATGTTTTCTCGACACATACATATGTACATATATAAAGTGGGGTGAATCAGCATTAAGTAAAGCGAAGTGTGCAACTAAAAGTTGTATATGCTGCAGATCCCGCCAGGAAGCAGCCAGGATGTCATCCTGCCAGGGACTGCAAGCGTGAGTCTGTCCGACCTAAGCACTTAATTACTTTTTAGATAAATTGTCGTTTTTAATGGCTAGACTCTTAGATATTTTCATAGAGAAAAGTGGCAGTAATTAAATGTGATCACAGCATGTCACGAAAGTACCTAAGGCAGAAGCAAATCCTCAAGACGAAAGAAAATGCTAAAAGCAAATGCCAAATGCCAAATGCCAAATGCTTAAATGCTTAAAAATAACTCAAGCTCTACTCCTCAGTAGCCATGAGAGTCAACTTGGAGCAGTAACAGCAGCTAATTTATATATAATTTTCCAGATTAGAAGTAGCATATAATTAAAAGGTCAATTTAAAGTGCAGACACACACGCACCTTAAATGGGAACTGCAAATACTTTCCCAACCAAATTCTAGATAAAAATCTCGAAATTGGTATTTTATGAAAATTAACGCTCAAGGGTATCTATTTACCCCAACTCTCCAATTCGTATTACGTTGACATTCTGTTTAGCAGCCTCTCTCTCTCTCTGAGTCAGATAAGTCGTTAAGATAAAAAAGGTTACGCAAATATTTAACCCAGGCTCTACATATATGCATGTATGTGTGTATATATATGTATTGTACCTCGTATATAGGTTGCCCATGTTTGCTTGTTAGAAATTTAAAAGTTTAAGATCTGATATGTGGCAAATTCTATTGTCCAAGGGAAATACAGTTTGGAAACAAGAATTCTCTACAATAATTGCTCGACTGAGAGGTATATACATTGGCAGAAATGAAATGTTACTATGAATATTGTCGATATATTAAAGAGTATTGATATAGTAGTAGTAGTTGGTACTTTCGACTTTTCAACTTTCTATTAATATTAACCCAGCATTTATATACCCTACTATATTACTCCCGTTAAGCACAGGATATAACAGGCACACAGTGATGAGGGTTAGTATAATTTTACCCGAATTCCTACCAGGCATATGTACACGCATAAT